GGACCTTGGAGGTCTTCTAGTCCAACCCCCTGCTCAAGCAGAAGAACCTATACTATTTCAGACAAGTGACTGTCTAGTCTCTTCTTAAAAACCTCCAGTGATGGAGCACCCATGATTTCCGGAGGCAAGCTGTTCCACTGGTTAATTGTCCTCACTGTTAGGAAGTTTCTCCTTAATTCCAGGTTGCTTCTCTCTTTGGTCAGTTTCCAGCCATTGTCTCTTGTCTTGCCCTCTGGTGCTTTGGAGAATAGTTTTACATCCTATTCTTTGTGGCAGCCCCACAAATACTGGAATGCTGCTATCATGTCACCCCTAGTCCTTCTTTTCTCTAGACTAGCCAAACCCAATTCCTGCAGTTGTTCTTCATATGTTTTAGTCTCCAGGCTTTTGAACATCTTAGTTTCTCTTCTCTGAACTTTTTCCAAAGTCTCAACATCTTTTTTGTAGTATGGTGACTAAAACTGGTTGCAGTTTAAGGGGGGGGAGTTGGAAGGTTCCAAAATGAAATAAGATACAAGGCAAAGACTTAGAGTATCATTTGAAGGGAGTTGCAAGATATTTTTCTTTGGTCCTATTGGACACAAGTATCCTCATATAGAGCCCAAGTAGCAGACTACCTGCTGACAAGTTTTGGTCCTTGGCACATCAAGACCTTTACCCTACCTATTTGTTTTCCTGGGTTATTTTGATTAAATAGGAAGCTAGCATTCTGTAAAACAAAGGACCAAATTCACGCATAAACAATACTTTCAAATATGCAACTGGGAAAATAGATTGCAGAGGCATTTTTATAAAAGAAAATAGTGGGTGACTGCAGCCCAGAGCTGTGTTTGACCCCTGGTATAACTATAATTTTGTGATTGGCAGCACTCCTCCTCACATGGCAACCATCTTACAAGGATGTTTTTAATATTCCAGATGTGTCCACTAACCAAAATGTTTTAGAGAACCAGCTCTGGACTATATAGCTGGAGCTGGGATGTAGTTGAAGAAGGCAGAGAAAAAAAGGAAGGAATGCTAGAATTGTCTACTTTTAGACCTGAAGCCTTCAATCATTATTGTGGCTGAAATTAATATTCAGTGGCAACTTGACTATTCTGAAGATTTAATGTTTTAAAAGCAAGATTCAGCTATAATGCACAAATCACGTCCTTTCTCCATTTTCATCATTTCTCTCCACTTTATTGTGATCTTCGGCTTACTGTCCAATTCATATCTTCTTGACCTGAAAATATTTACTTAGTTTTCTTTAGATGAACTGAGTAGTGCCATAAATCTCGTATCTTCCCTGCACCTTTAACATTGTTGGAACCTTGTGAGATTCGTATTTTTGAGACCACTCAAATACTTCTATAAAGACAGGTCCCTTCAGATCATCTTTGAGGAAGAAAACAACTAACGGTCCAGCATTCATTCAGGCAATGGCTGCAGCATCCTTTTACTGTGATTACAGTATTTAAAAATAATATTCCATGACTAAGTACATAATACTGCACATGTATGAGTTACTACATGTGATAATTGTATTAACCTGTATTAACAAATTATGCTACAACCTTGGTCTCTTTGTGGCTTAGTATGTTGTGTAGAGTGAAGCACATTCTTTGTGATTCTAACCATTGTGGTTGTAAACCATGGTTTATAGGTTAATATGCTATATGCCAATCATGGTATATTTAATAAAAGATTTAAAACTAGCAATGGCTTAACATAATTTGCAAAATTAGTCACTGTTGCCATTTTCTAAGCAAATTAAAGAGCTTGGTGTAGTGTAAGGCAGGGGTCCCCAACCCCGGTCCATGGACCAGTACTGGGCCGCGGCATGCCAGCAACCAGTCCATACAAACAAGCAAAGCCCCATCCATGGGATGCAGGCAGCACACAAAACCACACACTCCCGGTCCGCGGAAAAACCTCTCTCCACAGAACTGGTCCCTGGTGCCCAAAAGGTTGGGGACCTCTGGTGTAAGGGAAAAGCGTAGAAACAGGAAGACTGTGTGTTCTAATCCTGTTTTGGACATGAAGCTTGGGCAAGTCACTCACTCTCAGCACTTCCCTTAAACCTTGTTAAGATAACTTCAGGGGCTAGTCCAAATAGTTGCTGGGGTCAACACTAACTCAAAGACACCAATAGCCCCCCCCAATTTTCCTGGCAAAGTTTTTGCTTGTTCCCTCACCCCCTCCTTTAAATCAATACATCCAAGGTCTAAAAGTGGGCAGCCAAATATGGATGCTTGGAAGAGGAAGAAGTAGCCCAGTGACAATTGCCTTTGTCCCAGTGGCCACAGCCTCTTTGTCTGAAGGTTTTTTTTTTCCCTTTGTGATATCAGCTGTCTTTGAATGAAAGTTTTGGAATGATGCTGAAAAGATCCAGCATTCTGAGAAGCTCTTGGCAGTTGGTCCAGGGTTGAGCCCAGGCTATTAGCTGAAGACTGACTCTGATTTGAGAATAGTTATCTACTCTGTCTTTGTGAGATTGAGGTGAGAAGAACAGATATAGTCTTCTGAATGCTGCTACAGACCAGTTTTATTAACTTTGATTGATTGATTGATATCTTGTCATTCTTAAAGGAGCTCAAAAAAAACTGGACATACCTCTACCGGTTTTCTCCACTACAATTTTGTGAAGTAGTTTGGGCTGAGAAAAAAGAATCTGGGCCAAAGCCATTCAGAGGGCTTCTGTGGGTGATCTAGAGACCTGGGTCTCTCCCATGCTGGTCCTATGCTTTCATTATGACACCACAGTGGTTGCTATTTTAAGAAGAGCACAACAGTCTTGAGCATGTTTTTCTACATGGGATAATTATTTGGTATTAGACATTCCATTATTGATTGGTTTAATTAAAAATGAATTATTTAAATCTCCAGGGATATTCCCAGTGCTTTATCATGGAAGGATGTAAAATGTTTTATGGTAATAGTTATATGAGGATTAACCCTCCAAGGAGGAACTAGGGGGCTTTTTAGAGGCACTCTACTGTGTTATGTCAAGGCACTCTACTGTGTTATGTATTTGAGAATTCTGCTCCTGAAAATAGTTGCTCAGGTGACAATGTTATTTATTCTTTGCATAAGTTCTGGGTCACAGTGTAATTTCTCTACAGAGATTGAAGTAGAAGTACCTCCATTATTGCTTAGAAATTATGCACAGAACAAAACACCACGATTTAGCGGATGCACAGCATTCAAGACAACAGCCAGTATTCAGCTCAGTCTGGCTTGATAAAGGATACGCCATGCGGTGCTTAAAAGGAGCCTTAGCTGCTGGTTGAGTTTACAGAGAATCCTTTCAGTGGAGAGAAAACGTTCCCATAGAAGGAACCGGCTGTCTCTAGGCCACCAATCCGGCGTTTCGCTCTGCATCCGCGCAGAGGCGCGCTCCGACAGTGTTCGGGGGGTGGTGGGAGGAGGGCCGGGAGCCTCGGTGCCATTTTGCCGCGCTGTGTCGGTGTCCGCCGGGGGTCGCCCTGCTTTGCAGGCACGTTGCGGCTACGGTGAGACGAGTGAGCAAGAGGCGGAGGCGGAGCTGGGCGGGTTTAGCGAGCGCCGTCTGGTCGGAGTTAAGGCGAGCGGCGCAGTGAATCAGCCGGCAAAGCAGCTGAGGCGGTGCCGAGGAAGGCTGCTCACCAGCCAGTCGGGGCTCCCGCACAGTTCTCGGGAGGGAGCGACTGGCCACTCCAGGAGGCGTCATTGGGGACGGCGCTCGGGCCGGCAGACAAGCAGGCATCCGTGGTGTGCCGCTGCCACACCGAACGAACCTCTGCATGCATTTCCTCGTTTGACTGGGGAAGCTGGACGGCCTCGCACCCGCCCCTCTGCCGCCTCCCCGCAGCCCCCAGAGCCGAGCCAGTCCTGCAGGACCCTGGACAGAAACCACAGTGCCCGGTGGGCGCGCATTGCGGTGGGTACCAGGGAGGAGGAGGACGACGACGACAGGCGCCATCGCGTCCTTTGGGGAGGGGAGGCGGGAGGAATGCAGCAACATTGCGGCGGGAGGGAGAACGTGCGGGAGCCCAGCGCTATCTCGCGCGCGCGCGGAAAAAGCAAAGCTTGGATGGAGAGAAGAAAGGCGATTTGGTGGAAGAGAATATTTATCCTCTTAAAGGTACTACCATTTCTAACTATTTAGTAGGCAGGCAGGAGTGGGGGAAGGTAATAAATACGCACGGTGGGCGTCTAATTAAAAACATGGATGACTGATCTTTCTCTCCCTCTGTCTGTACATGCATATGGACGGAAAGATACCTTTTTTTTTTTTAGAAAGATGGAGAAGCATCTGACATCTTCCATGGTACATCAGTTATTCCATAAGGTACTAGGGGATTCTTTGTTTTGCTGCAGCCAACTAATATGGCTCCCTCTCTAGAAAGCATCCCTGACACATTTTATACACCCATATACACTTGCCAGCATAACATTGGAGCAAGGGTATCTGTGCAGCTTCCTCTCTAAACATACCCAGCTTTTTATTTCAGCTTTTGTGGAGGAGGAGGAGGAGGAGGAGGAGGAGTATATATGCCATTTATAGAAAAGGAAACCAGCAAGTCCTTGGTGTGTGTGGGAGCATCAGAGATACCTTCCTACAAGGCTTTGGGCTTAAAATTCAAGGTCCCATTTTGCAGGGCAGTCTTTGCACATGTCCAAATCACGTGTTATGTGCCCTCCCCCTTGGTCTCCCCCCATACACATGTAGGAAAGTTTAATTTGGAAGGAAGAAATGGAGAAAAGTAATAATAAAAATAATAATGCTCTTAGAAATGAATATAATTAAATGGGCTAATATTACTAAAAAGCAGGGGTCTGTATATCTGGAAGAAAACCGATTGCTGCCAGGGCTTATTGGAATTGTTTTTGCTTTTGGTAGGTAACTTCTGAATCCAAGCTATTTAAGGCTGTGACGGAAAGGAGAGTCAGCACGGTTGAATCAGAGACCCCTCTGCCCTGGTGGTGACAGCACCCAGCTCTGTCCACTTTGCCCTCCTCCTAGCTGCCTGTGCACCATGGGCACTGTGCTGAGCCTTTCACCCAGTTACCGGAAAGCCACTCTCTCCGAGGATGGTTCAACCACAGTGGGGCATTATACTGCAGTCCAGAATAGTAAGAATGCCAAGGATAAGAGCCTGAAGCGCCACTCTATCATTTCAGTGCTGCCCTGGAAACGCATCGCAGCTGTATCTGCCAAAAAGAAAAACTCCAAGAAGGTGCAGCCCAACAGCAGTTATCAGAACAACATTACACACCTCAACAATGAGAACCTAAAGAAATCTCTCTCCTGTGCCAATCTATCCACCTTTGCCCAGAACCAGGGCAGTCAGCCTACAGCTCCAAGCCACCAAATTTCCAGTTCCAAGGGCACCGTTTCCTCTGTCAAGAAAACACCCCACCCCAGCTGCAACTCATCTGGCACCCCCAAAAGGGTCCTTGTCCAAGCCTCAACCAGTGAGCTGCTAAGATGCTTGGGGGCATTCCTCTGTAGACGCTGCTACAGGCTGAAGCACCTTTCCCCCACTGATCCAGTGTTGTGGCTTAGAAGTGTGGACCGATCTCTCCTCCTGCAAGGCTGGCAAGACCAAGGCTTCATCACTCCAGCCAATGTGGTCTTTCTGTACATGCTTTGCCGGGATGTCATTTCATCTGAAGTAGCCACGGACCATGATCTTCAGGCTGTCTTACTTACCTGCCTCTATCTCTCCTATTCTTATATGGGCAATGAGATCTCCTACCCTCTCAAGCCCTTCCTGGTGGAGAGCTGTAAAGAGGCATTTTGGGATCGTTGCCTCTCCATCATCAACCTCATGAGTCCCAAAATGTTGCAAATCAATGCTGACCCACACTATTTCACTCAGGTCTTTGCTGACCTGAAGAATGAGAGCAGCCAAGAAGAGAAGAATCGGCTGCTCATTGGCCTAGATCGGTGAGCTGAAGCTCCCCGTCATTCACCCTTTCATTTATCTTCTTTTTTATGTTGTTTCTTTTCCAAACAAGCCAGGACACATAGGTGAGATGGGACAGGCCTGAAAGAAATCAGCCACCCACCACTGGTCTCCACCATTATTACCTTGGCTTCTATGAATCAAAACTGACAAGAAATGAAATGGGTTTGTCTGTTTGGTTTTCAGTTTTGCTGCATGTGATGGATATGGCTTCTTTTCCAGATTGTAAACCAGGAGAGGGCAAAATAGAGCGGAGAAGCAAACACCGCAACATAAGATCATGGCATCCTTTCACCTTTTGCTTGTCCTAAACAGCTTGCGAATTGGGGTGAACTAGCCTGCAGGATTTACTTCTTCACAGTGGAAGGCAGTGGAGGAACATAATAATTACAATTCTTAAGAAGAAAAAGACTAAATCTAATAGATGGTCTAGCACCTGGTATTCTAAAAAAGGGATTCAAGAATGGATTTTTAAAAATAGAAATTTAATTATTATTACTTTATACACCAGTTCCAACAAGATGACATCATCTCAGTACTGGCCTTCAAAAGGGACTCTTACTCCACGACAGTGTGATTATATTGAGAAACAGAAGTGGGTAAGGAAAAGGCAGAAAATATACAAGAGACACCTCATTTTGTGTATGATATCACCACTTGCACCCATTTCATTGGGGACCTTTGACGTAGGCTCCATAGGTCTTTTCTAAATATCAGTATCGAAGGGTGAAGATGAGATTTGACAATCTTTTCTTGCTAAGGCAGATATAAGCCAGAATATGGGTTCGGAGGTGAGATTCAAAAATCCCAGGCAATAGGTACTAGCTGTTATTGATTTGCTGGGAAGTGATATATGTTAGTATTGATTGGTCAAAAATGGTTATTTCTTTGGTGGTGATATTTGCATAATATAACTTTGCTGTTTCAAACAGGCTGAATTTGAGTCCCTTGAGATTTTTCTGAGGATCCGCAATCAAGTTCCCCAATTCAATTATTGAAAAATGCTAGGCTTATGTTATTACATGTAGGACTTGGTGCTGAATTTTAGTGTAGAAATGCTTTTCTTCTAAGGGGTTCCTTGCAGCCCCAGCCAGGACGGTATAGTTCAGGGGTAGGCAACCTTGGCTCTTTTATGACTCGTGGACTTCAACTCCCAGAATTCCTGAGCCAGCTGGCTCAGGAATTCTGGGAGTTGAAGTCCACGAGTCATAAAAGAGCCAAGGTTGCCTACCTCTGGTATAGTTCATGTGCCAATCAACACTCTTCACGCTTTATGAAAACACAATAACAGCCACAATAAACAGAACAAGGAAACGCACTGAATGATAATAAAAGACTCCCCATTTCTTATAGTGTTGAAGACAGAGTGAAGATAAGTTGTAATCTAAACCTACAGTACAGCAGATACAAAATATTCAGATATTTTGTACATTTTATAGAGTAATATTGCAGAAGGTTCTTTTGGGCCACAAATCTGTTCCCATGCTTGGAGACATTCTCTTCCATCTCGTAGACTTACAATTATAGGTAAACATCTAAGAATTTAAATATTTTTCCCCACCCTGAACATCTAAATATTTGAATAAAGTTAAAAATTTTTATGCTTAGATATTTATTTTGTTTTGTTCTCTAGCTCCTGAACAATATGTAAAGGTTAAAATATTCTAATCTTCAGGGATAGTCAAAAGTATATAAAAAAGGGTAGTGGGGAGACTGAATTTTCCTCAGTTACTAATAATATGTATTAAAAGTCAATAGTCCAGATCTAGGGTTCTATGGAAGATGTGAAGTTTTGGTATGGAGGTAATCTTCGCTGTTTTAAGTTCTCACAAGCTGGACAGTTAAATAGTATAAAGGCAATAATACTCTGGGGTAAAGAAGGCTGTGGATAAAATGATAAGGTAGAAATATTCTAGAAAGCTTTTCTAATGCTATTGCTAAGGATGCTGGCATTCTAGCAGAAAGGCAGAGGGAGAATTATATTGTGTCTTTAAATAGGGTAGCTTGCAATTAACTTAAAAAACAGCAAAGCACTATTAAAAATGCAGAGGAACATTAAAAGCTGTGAAATCTGAAAAGGTCAAAGCTAAGAGGCTGCAGTAGACTTGAACTAAATGCATATGTTGTGATGATTAAACAGCTGCTGGGTTTGTTCAGCAGGTCTTGCCACTGCCTCAAAAGCTAGGCCAAAATCTGAGCCATTAAGAAGTGAGATACTGTTAAGCTTGCTGTTGAATGTGTAAAGGAAAACTGAGCCTTAGCATCAAAGAGGAAAGGGAGGGCTCCTTTACATTTCTCTCCTGTAAACCATTTGCTGCTCTGAAATGGGTGGCATCTATCATTATATCAGTCTCCCTTAGAGACCCCAGTTCTTCATTCAGCATTATGGCTGAGTTCTGGAATACTTTACAGTAGTAGTTCAGACTAAATTCTGGTATTTATTTGAAGACATCATTCCCCTGGTTGTTCAAAATGGCAGTAAATCTTTTTGCCCTTCCTCTCCTTTTTAATAAAGACTATATATTAAAGGCAAAAATCACAGTTGTACTCATATGGATATGAAAGCTTAAAGCTGCAATCCTTTGCATGTTTACATGGAAATAAGTTGCATTCAAGGAATCAGACTTATTTCTGAGTAGGTGTGCTTTAGATTGCACTGCATGGGAAGCAAATGTGACTTGGTGGTATCATTGATGTGCAAAACTATCTTGGCTTGAACCTATATATTTACTGTTTTATAGTGGGGAAAACGGTCAACTGACTTACTTGATATAAAAGAGCAATGAGTGAGAATTTACTATGCTGCTGTATGAAATGAATCATTTTAGAACAAAATCTATGCTTATGGCAAGAGGAAAAAAACAACCTAATCCTTTTCTGTCATTCCATTATTGCTTTCCAGTAATACTGTGCATGCCAAAAGCAGCATTGTGACTTTTGACAGCAGGCAAAACTTTAGAACAGTTGATTGTAAAAAGAAAAAAAAACTAGAAACACAATAATTCACCATGCACAAATTTCAAGCAGATCTTCTGCTTTCATCCACACCTTCATTTCTTCAAATCAATGTATTTCATCTCAAGACCTCTAGATATTTTCTGATATAAACTGTACACGGTTCTTAATGTTTAGCTCTGTCCTAAACTATTTTTTCTCAAAGGAAAAAAACACAAAGAAAATAGTGTGCCATTTTTTTTCACTTGAACATTCTTCAAAACTACATTTTTGAAGTGGGAGAAAAGAAAACAGGATCTGTTAAGTTCTATATGTCTATGTATGTTAAAGTTTTTGGATTTTTTTGTTTAGTGTGCAATCCCTTCTGTAGATATTTGTTGACCAAAATTGGTATTATTGCTTATTATTACTTAATTTATAAATGGTCTTTTGTATGTATGTGTACTATAGTGTGTTTCTAAGTATGTGAGGTTTATAAATATGACAAGACTGTCAAAGAGCTGTGTGTGCCTGTAACTTAATGCCTCCCTATTTTTATTTATTTTTGTACTGTGCTGATTAAAAATAAAATGCACTGACCATCCATGACACAAATGATTTTCAGAGGAATTTTTAAAAAACTTCTATCGTGGTGGGAAGATGACAAGGAAGACTGTGGTAAATAACTGTGGAAACAGTTGAATCTACTTTGACACATGATATAAGTTTCAATCTATGTGATCTTAAAACTGAGTCAGTTACTTTGATTCATAGATATACTCTCTCAAATGCTATACCTTAAACAAGAGTATGCACTTAGTCACAAATAGATAATTATCTTAGCCAATACCTGGAGATCTCATGATTTAAACATCAATAAACCAGGAGATGATATTTTTTTAAAATAATGGATCATGTAATACAGTAGGTAATAGGGAAGGTCTATTACCATAGTTGATGAAAATGACATAGATTAATTGAAATTATTTTCTTCTCTGAAAAGAGAAGAGAAAATCAGTCAAATACATTTCAGAAAATGCAGAATCAAAATCAAGCAAATGGAGTTGGGTATAAATGAGAGTCTTTTTATTTCAATTATGTAAACAAAAATACATCTTAATTATGAATAGGACGTGTGTGTCCACATTTCTGTATAAACTATTTTAAAATATTAATTACACTATTACCTCATTCTTAAAGATTAGGCGTACAATTAAGAAATAGTTAATTTATAGATAAACCCCAGAAATACACATACAAGGTAGACGCCAGTATCCTGGGAGCAGCTCATACACTTAGATTTTCTTCCCTCAGGAGCCCCTTGCCCAGTTCTCAATACTCCTGTGTTGACTGGGTGCTCTGCAAAGCATACTGGCGAGGAGGAGGAATTTCCTCTTCCTGTTTTGGTAGCAGAAACTACCTCTGATAAACCAAGCAGAATAATGTATCTGCCCCACAGAAAATCATACACACAAATCAAGAAAGACAGAAATACTGTTAATTCATTTAAATCAAAATACTTCATTACACATTATATAATCAACTTAATAGATTTGTATCTTGGTACGGAAAGTTTTAATCTTTCATGCAATTTTCATAAATTTGGTCATCATTCAAATCCAGCCCTTATTTTGGAATATAAAATAAAAGTGCTAATTTTAAAACTTCTGAGGCTAATTTGGCTGCTTTGAAAGTAAATGTTTGAAGGCATCAGGGATCTGAGGCGGTCCATTTTTCTGTTGGCAGTAGAGATAGGACTGTAAATGCTCAGTCTAGATAGCTAGACTGATCAAAAGCTAGCTTGCTTTTTAGTTGAACTGAAGGATTAGGCTCTACTGCTTGCCTTTCATCATGGATGTGCTGGCATTTGGGGGAACAAAGAGAACACCTAAAGAGATTTCTATAGTTACATTGATCTTCCAGGGCAACTCCTATTCTGCTTGTAAATTCCATCTGTGTTGTATTTCATTTCCTCTAAATTACAGCTAGATGGTTTCTGGCTGGGAATAATGGGATTTAGAATGATATTCCCTACCTGGAAGGCACTTGGT